CTACATACTTTCAACTGTCATAGGTAAATACACTATGAACAGTTTCATCAAGGTCTTTCTTCTGGTGAAATAGTTATTCTGACTAAAGCTTCAGAAAAAATAACTGTCTCATTAAGCAGGAAAAAAAATTTAACATCTACAGCACCAAACTTCAAAATCAAATTCAGACAGGTCATCTTCACACAGCACATCTGAACAGGAATTTGGGAGGCATCTGCTGGGTCAGGGGAAGGTAGTTTGGGTAAATTTCATTTAATCTCTAGTTTTGGGGACAATGGCATATTTCTGGGCCATCACTCAGCCCAAGATCCCTGCGTCCCACTTCATTTCCCACCAAGCTGTGAATTCCCAAAGACTGACACAGGGCAGACTGGTATCATCTTTCAACAGGCACACTTTTAGCTGACAAATTTGGAGGGGAAAAAAAATAAAATAGAGACCTTGCTTAGAAGACAACTGCACACCGACATCAAATGGCCTATGCTGTTAACATCTTGAAACTTATTTAACTGTTTTTGTTACTAGCCCCCAGCCCCACTAAATGACAAGCAGAGTTAAAATTTTATCCTTTGTCTTTCAAAGTCCGCACTTCATCACCATTCAGGAAACTTTTAGGGGCAAAGCCCTAGCACGACAAAACACAGAGAAGAAAAAAAAGCATCCGAGAATTGGAGAAAATACAAGCTAACAGTATGTATCCAATAGAAATTTGTAAGCCCAGACTGCCTGGGAGGAACACAGGATTTCCTGCAACTTGCTCTTGGCCAAAGTTAATTATGCCCAGCCTCAGCTTCGAAGGGATGCAGGCAGCTTGAAAGAGTGCTGCCTAGCAGGCACAAGCTGTTGATTCAAAAATTCTTGGGATATTTTCACAAAAAAAAAAAAAAAAAAAAAAAAGAAACGTTTTATAAAACTGACAGCAGTCAGAGACCAATACAGGCTGCAGTCCGTAACAGGGAGCTGCACCTTAATCAGAAGTGAGAAGTGGCAAGACCTTTACAAACTTGGTTAAGAGTCAATGCAAGAAGAATAACAGTCATTCTGCCGGCATGCACGGGCAATAGTCTGCACAGAAAGTGCTGGGTTCACTTCATGTCAGATGTTTACATATAAAAAGGAATCAAGTACAATTACTGGAATTACTCCCTCAAGGACAAATGGGTGAATAAAACCTCAAACCTGACACTTTCTTAGGCACACAGATTAAATAAACTGGCCAGAGCATTATACAGGCAGGATTCTTCCTCAGGTCTCAGTTTTGGTCGTATTTGCGTTGCTACCAAGTAGAAGAGGCCAAAGCGCACTGGGTACGACAGCTCGGAAGCACTGGATCACATCCTAGGCTCTCTGCCCTGTTTTGGGCACTACTGCAGGATTCTCAGTCCTGATCCTCAACCACGTGGAAGATGTGCAGCAGTGAGCCAGCTGCCCTGACTGCAGGGGCGAGGGAATAATTTGGCACTGGTAATAAAAGTGAAGGTTTTATAGGATATTCCTCCCTCTCACAACAAACGCTTGCAGCTGAAAAGCAGCTGGATAACCTTTATAATCCTCTGATCTTTTATCCTGATGTGGAACTAAATTAACAATTAACTATTGATTAGTTGTATTAAAAACTGAAAGCAGAAATATCTGCCCTTTAAGCAAGGATGATAGTTTTACCTGCTCAAGGGACTGAACAGAAAAAACAAAGATAAGACCAGAGCAACATAAAAGACACATATTTGAAAAACAGTTTCCCAGAAGCTCTAGTACAAAGTATTGCCTCCACTGAGCAACACCACAGGAGCTAGACGCTGCCAGTACAGCTGTAGATCTTTTAAGGGCTGATGCTCACAATTAAGGGGCACATATATCTGCTGCCTGATGACTACAGCATCACAGACCCAGCCTCCTTCCGCGCAGGAGCTCCATCTTTGAAGAACAACATTACAATGATATTTGCAGAAGACCGTTTAGTGACTGGAACACATCCAAGCTGTATATGCTCCCCCAACGCAAACAGTGGCTTGTTTTACACGGGAAGACATGCTCCTGAAGTAGCATCCCATTCCAATTATATTTTTTCTTAATAAAATGCACGCCCCTATAAAAGGACATCAATAGTATAAATAACAGGAGCCCTACCCTTTGCTTCAGAACAAGCAGAGCGCTCTCCAAGATGGCAAGGTCAAACTGTGAACAGCCTGTAAGAGGGCACATCGCTAGAGCGTACCTGTGATATGCTGGGGTGGGGAAAGTACTTATGCCTACAGTTAGGCAAGATAAGGTTGTCCAAACACCCAGGAATTTTTAAATACAAAGAATCAAGTCCTATTCCTCCCGCAGGAAAGGGTACAAGCAGGTGCTTCTGCCGGAAAATAAAATCATGGAGGTTCCTCGGTTACGTTTTGTTGTTTTGGGATTCTTTGTGCTGCTTTTGGCAGATGGGCAAACATCTTCCTTTCATAAGGCAAGCAGAATCAGAGCAAACCTTGACAGACAGGACAGGAAGTTAAACCAGATCCAAATTAGATGTTTCCCATTCCAATTTCCTCAAGCAAACTGTCTAGGCAAGTGCGCCTGAAGAACTTCAGGACTAGTCCTACTGCTTTGAGCTATCCAAGAAAATTAAAATGCTGTATTAGCATTACCTACTGATGCTACTAAAAGCACAGGGACAAAAGTTTTTGACTCCATGCAGAAAAGACAATGTTTGGAGATGGGCCCAAAGCTCTACAGCCAGCTCTGCTTGGACAACCCCAAAGCAATGGTAGTGTTTTCCTGTTTCCACAGGTGATAAGGTAGAGATGCCACAGACCAGTAATTTCACCATCAACAGTCAGATCAAAGTTCAATCTGAGAGCATCAACACCATGTTCCTGAAATAAGAATTGCCCAAGAACATCAGAAAGCAAGGACCAACGTCAGTCAGTTTTGGTCTGGCTGGACTTGGGCTGAAGCCCTGTGGACCAAGCAGTAGCCAGGAGGCAAGCAAGCAGGAGATGGCTGAAGCAGTCATCCTATCTGCAGATGAGGAGCCACTGGAGGTACAAAGTGACAGGACATCTCACAGACATGACACTGTAGACAAAAAAACCCCACAACAAACAAAACCACAACCCCAAAGCAAAACAGTCCATGCTCTTTGATGCAGCCTGCTTACTAGCTTTTGGAGACCCCAACACAGGTCAGTCTTTCCCCCATGAATGAATTTACTGAAGCAGCACTTCTGAGACCATTCACATGTCTCAAAGATCAAACTATACTGATATATGGCAATGGAGAAGCTAAGAAATCAGCTTCAGAAAAGCATCAGTGGCTCAGCAGAAGCATACGTCAAAGGTGCTCTCTAGGTATCCAAAAGGAAATGAAGAAGCTCCAGCTACTATGAAGGGATGGACCTCTAACCTGTCGTCTTCACAGTCTGTCATATGGACCAATCTCATATGACAGGCGAGTTTGAGTCTCTTGCACAAGCCACACAGTATCTGGAAGGGTTTCAGATGATATTCTCTTCCTTACAATTTACCTACCATAGAAGGTAAAAGGAAGCTCATTCTAACACAATAAATCAAAATGGAACAAAACCAGTGACAGCTGAGACAACTATTACCATTCACATACAAAACTATCAACAATAAGGGATTTAGTACCTCAGAAGTCGTAGGCAGCTACATAATAGCACCACGCCAGAACTCAGGAACACAGAGCATTGGATTGCACATATCCTATTCTTGCAACTGTCTATTTCCTCTTGCCCATAAAAACACGGACAAACTAATCATAATTTATAAAGTCAACACTTAATTTGCTCCTGCTGTCTTTTGCACAGAGAACAGAACACAGGTCATTCTGCTTGAAGAGGAGACAGGGACAAGTTCTGTTGTTGTATCAACTTACTGTACAAAAATAAAGTAGAAGCTTAAGAATAAGAGAAGTGAAAAAAACCCCTACGGTATTCTACAGACCTTCTTTTTTCTGAAAAGTCTGAAATCTTGTATCACTTTTGGGGGTCCCCTGCCTTCAATGTCCACTTGATGATCTGTAAGTTATTCCCAAGATGAAGTGATCTTCTAACAACTTGCAAATAATCAAGTTCTGAGGCAGCAAGTTCAATTTCATATTTAAACAGAAACAAGTATTCAGTTTTTCCACAGTAATGTTGCAAACCATAAGTCATGCACTACAGCTCACTGCAGAAATGACTCAAACTGTACAGCTGCTGCACCAATACACCTGGTAGTTATGCAAAAATAAGCTTCATCACAACAGCATCCTATCCCTTACAAAAATTTAACAGGTACTAATTTATCTTTGATAACATACACAAACTGGCAACATTTTGAGCTCAGGCTTTAAGCTACATTTACACTGGACTACAGTGGTTCTGTGTATTGCAGGAGGTAAAGAGCACACATCTCCCCAAATTCTTATATCAGCACTAACACTCCCTAGCCATTTTTAGCATTGATGGCACTTTTCTAGGCTCATGGGTCATTAAAAGCAGGCATTAAGTAAAAAAAAAAAAAAAGAAGTTAATATTACATTAAAAAGCACTAATGAGTTTGAACAAATATTAAACAATTGCTTTCAATTTAAAGAGACTACAAACAGGATGCATCCAGGCCAAAATGGAATTTAAAAAAGGCAAAAGAATCATCCCATTTTAAAGAGGTATTTTGGAGAAGAACAAGATTTCCTTCAGTGGCTGCAACTACAACGATGTGCATGTTTAGGTCGACGTTGTACCTACCCGGGCCCTGAAGTTCCATTTCCATCCTTTAAGCTGAATGAAATCGCAAAAATAAAAGCGAGTGGAAAGGTGCTTTGAGAAGATTTAGTGCATTTCCAAGGACAGGGCATAGGGGGAAAAGGTGAGGAGAGGGAACATTTTAACACCTATAAAAAGAGTACGTTTTTCTACACCTTGCACCCAGGAGAAAATTCCATGACTTGAGAGCTGCTGGAGAAGAACTACTGAAGATCCAGTACAAAATCCAGAGCAAAATGACTCAAAATGTGTTTTTCTTCAAAAAAGTGTGCTGCTAGATACCAAGTTACACTTCATACCATGACAATTACACAACTGCCTCCAGAAGAATCTCCATCACCAGGGAAAACGTTAACAGACAAATCAACTGAGCAACCTAGAAGCGAAGTGATAGAAAAGCCTCTTACCGCCTGCTGACAGTTCAGCCCGACGTTTCCCTTCTCGCCCCGTACTACTTTCATCAGGCAGTGGAGGGTGCGACCTTTCCGATGCAGGCCTGAGCAGTGGTGTTCGATCTCCCCTCGGCAGCTCAGGATGATTTCCGGGCTCAGCGAGAAGTCTTCCATTAGCATGCGCCGGTAATCCAACATTTCACCCTGGCACTCACTGCTTACTTGTCGACCTGAGCCAAGAGAAGACAACATGATGTAGTGTTAATGCTTGGCAGAGCCCTTCTTGACCTATGCTACCGTCACGTTGGAAGAACAGGGATGATGTCTGCACTCTGGACAAAACTGGATTGCAACAAGTGTGCTAGAGCAGATGTGCTGGGGATTAAATCAGTTGTTATGATTGCTCCCAGCATTTAATTGAACACGTAAAATAGCCAGTCTATGGACTCAACACATGGATTTGAAAAAAGGGATTCCTGAAAGATTGGGAGAATCTTATTTTGGATTTTACATTACAGGAGGTGCTTTTGAAGAACAGCTGGAAATGCTCCATGGATCTGCAGTTCTGTGGTACAGGTCAGCTCTTCCCTGTACGCTCAAAGGTTTGTTTCTCCACTGTAGAAACACAAGTCACCTCTGGTAATTTACCAGCTTGATACGTAACTGGGGAGGAATTTGTGCGGACAGCAGGTTAAACATTTTCTGAGAAAAAGGTTTTCTAGAGCAATAGCACATACTTGCTCAGGAAGCCAAACCACAGAATAGAATGTGTTACCGAGAGTATATATACATATACACATATATACAAGGAGTGTTTAACAACCACTGCAGTTGCACAAAAATCTAACTTTAAACAATGTTTAGATCTGCTATAAGCTTTCCTACAGTCCCCACTCAGACAGTTTGTTGTTTTTATTAATCCAAAGGAACACGTCTTTTTTGCGATGCCCTCCCGCTAGCCCCCATCACAACCTATTCACATGCGTACAGCGTCCCGTGCAACAGAGGTCTTATACCCCAACAGGGGCTGCCGACCACTAGAATATAAACACGTGGAATAATTAACATCCGTCCTGGGCTAGGCATCGTGCACGAGCCGCACGCTGCAGAACCTGTTCCATGGTGAAAGTTAATAACTGAACAGCAGTTTTCTGCGTGTAATTCAGGAAAGCACCTGCCCTACTGCAGGAGGAAGGAAAAAACCAAACCCACAACTTTTCCACAAACAGCACACATCGTTTCCACATGAATCAGAAGCAACGAGTTACTCCAACTCACAAACGCACAGATTGTTTATGGTGTTAGGGCAGCCTTTTCCTCCCTTGCCAGGGGCACTGCAGCATGCAGCCCTACCGCTGAATCAGAAGCCACCTACCTGCACGCCAAGGGGAGAAACAGTGCTCCAGTGCAGCTCTAGAGGCTATAACGTGTTGTTTTACGTGTTACGGCAATTTCACAGAGAACCTTTAGTGTGGTCCTGCCGTATAGGGCCCTCTAATGCCTTTGGGACAGCTGGTGGTGTTAGGACATCTCCAGCTCACGCTAACTTAAATGAACAAAACGAATATTCTCACACTTACCTACCTTCTGTATAGGAAAAACTAGAGCTAGAGAACTTAAGGCATTTTCCCAAGCTACTGAACTGCCAGGGAAGAACATTACTTACAAGAGGCAGAGGACTGAGTATCCCTGGCTTTCCCTGAGTGATGATAAACAGGTGGTCTATTCTGTGTTTTAACCCAGTAGCATATTTAATGCTTACCACATAAAGGAGGAAGAAAGCTGCTTGAATTCACAGTGAATAGAAGGATTTGCAATTACACACCATCAATCCAAGCGGGATTTACTGTTTTGCATTTTAAACTTCTTGCCTACATAACAGGAGTCAGTGTCAGAGGTTTTACTCAGCTATTCTGATCTTCGAAACAACAGCGATGAAAGCATTATGATGAGGAAACTTGCCTCTGAACCAAAGTTTGGAAAAGAGAACTCAGAGAAGGAGACTGTAAATACACGTTGAACCTGAAGGTCCAAGAGAAACTTAAAATCAAGGTCCCAGCAAGTCACGCATCTCTTGATTGAACTCCACTTACCTCTGTGCACAGCAGACTCTAAGCACATCAACAAATAGGAAAGCCTGGCTTCCCGAGAGCGAGGAAGGTTCTCCACATTACAGCGGTACTTCTTCAGATCACTTTTACAGGACTTTGCGAGCGAGTAACTGACTTTGTAGTCTTGGGCGATCAGCTTCTGGCGGGTTGTCAGCGCATCACGACACTGCAGGAGACACATTGGGACGGCTGAATGAACTGCCGCTGGTGGCAGAGAGCTAGACCAGCTGCTGCTAAGTTTTCAAGTTGTGTTTCAAAAGGCGACTGATGCTTTAAAATTCAGGCATTTAAGCTGGACTGCAGTTAAATTTCATTTGCCTCATAGAAACCACCCGGTTAACAATACACACCGAGGTCAACGGATCAAGGGTTTTAAAGGCAGCAGCTCTCTGCAGAGCACTTCTTAAAACTGCACATTCATCCAGCTTTTTGTGAAGAGCTATGGCTGAGAGTGTGACTCATTCTCGGTAACTTGGATCAGTTGCTGACATTTATCCCAGCTGTGGTACATACTCACCCCAGGCCCTCAAGAAACAACTTTTTTCAGTCACATTTACAAAATAGCATGTTCTTTGGATTTGTTCTGCAACGTGCTGAACAGATGACAGCAGATAAAGCAGTCTAACCATGGGAATTTCTAGCCGTTTTCCATAACTGATGAGGCTCACGAGGATGCACCAAAGCCAAACCTGAACCCACCAGCTGCAACAACAACCCACTAAATTTCATCCAAAAAAGGGTCTGTAAAAACACTGCTGCGCTTCCTATCTTTTGGTTTAAATTATATGAAAATTAAATCCAAGGGCAGCAGATAATTCAGAATAGCTCAGGCAAATTTGTGCATTCTTGGACTATTTGAAAGGAAGGAAAACCGCATGTGTGGGGTGGGGAGAACAAGGAGTAATGTCAGCACAAGGAACAGAGAAGCCCTAGAGCCCTCTCCCCTTCCTTACGTCAGGGGTTTGACTTTTCTCCCCCTCCTTCCCACACCTATTCCAGGACCTGGAGAATCCTGCTCCAAGATATTCCCACCCCCTCCTTCATGGTACCGCCTCTGTGCCATGACTGGGACCTCAGGACCGGGTGGACTTAAAGCTCCAGACACAGGGAGATACAGGCTCACAGATACCTCATCCCTCAATGCAGGGGAAGGTCGGGTACGGCCAGGGAGCTCAGCCTGGTGAGCAGTTTTGGATTACACAAAGCAAGCCACCTCGCTCAGCAGCTGTAGTTGGCTACATGTGTATGTAACAGCCGATGTTGTCGGCAAAGAGAGACTTTTTACTGGGTAACAGCTTCTGCAAAACAAATGACTTTGCAGACGGTCCAATCTTGGCAGTCACAAGAGAAGTAGATTTTGTGTCCCTCCTGCTCCGCAAACTGCACCCTCAGATCACTCACCCCTCTTGCCCTACCAAGTTGTCTGCTACAGCTTTGTCTAACCTCTCAGCATCTTACATTCTGATCTTCGACAGCTGACCATGGAGAAGACCCCTCAAAACCCACCACCGTCCCTGTACAATCAAAACTAGGTTAAGCAAAAACAGCAGTCCATTTCTGTAACGCGCTTGTACAAAACGAAGCTTTGTTTCAAGCCCTCAGGGAATCACACGCTCAGTTTTGAATTTGTTAATTGGAACTAAGCTTGCAGATAGCCAATGCATTTAAAGAAAAGGAAATGAGTCTGATCCCTCCACGCCCTCCTTCAGCAGAGCTTCTCTGAGGTGGGTTTCACAGATACCCATCTTTGTATCCTTTCTAGACCGATGATATAATTCCGTATAATGCCAAACACTATGATGCTGCTTCCGAAATCACTGCTGCCTTCCCAAAACACCTACACTAATACAAACTCTTTTCGGGACTGGTTTTCTGGAACAACTTTTTTTATTCTTGTTAAAAACCACATCTTCAGGAAAAAAAGGTTAAGGAACAGATCAGTAACTGAAATATGCATCTTTCCCACAGAATTTGCTGCTTCATAGTCACTCATAGCCTTGAGAACAAAACCAAACCACGTACAGCTTCCTGTGCTGAGGCATCTGGGCATTTTGTTTCTAATCTGTACATTAAGACAGCATTTACCCAAGGCTTACCCCAGCATGGTGCAACTTCTACTTTAAACACTCAATCACAGCGCTACTACTTGAGCTCCAAGTCTGCCTTCCCAAATTACCCACCCAAAAGCTTTGATTTATTTAAATCCTTAACTTTAAAGGCTGTAATTTGAGCACAATTAATTCAAGCCATCAGCATGTAGCTGGAAACACAAACATATCAAAGTAAAAGCATCTGTTAAAGCAGTCGGTTATCCGACCACGTAGATGATGGATTTTCCTCAACACTGGAAAAGAATAATGTAGCCTGGACTGATGAATTATCTGATGATTTCTGCATTAAGGATTTGTCTCACTAAGACAGATACCTACCTTTTCACTCATTGATTCTTCAAACTTGTGATTAAAGAGGCACTTGTAGACTCGGCCTTCCCCAGCCTGAGTCTGTGAAACAGAACAGAAACATTTGCTATTAAAGATAAGACCTGTAATGCTTAATAAGCAGGCTAAACTACACCTAAAGAGATTTATTTTTTAAACTAGTAATATATTAAAGTTAATATTTCAAGTGACAATGATAGCTTCTATACTATAAAAATCTTTCAAATTTTATTGCATTAAAAAATAATCTGGTCACGTTCATCACATTTTTAGTGAGAAGCCGCTCAGCTGATACAAGCTAATCCAGACTGAACAATGCAGCTTTCCAGCTCATCGCTCCAGGGATGCGGAGAGTCAGACCAGGCTAACCTTGTGCAACAGCCACCGCTGCAGAAGGAAGCAGTCACTCACCTTTGCTGCCTCCTCCCCATTTCACACCAGCTCTGATGCCCGTTAAACCATTTATGCCAATTCAGTTCATTAACCCACTGGAAATAATGCTTGTTTGTTGGGTGAATGAATTGACTACCAGATATATTGCAAAATGACAGCTACAAGGTGTCTGTTTTCATTATTACATGATCTTGCTCCACTCTGCCGTTCCATTCCTTCTTCCAATGTGGTTTTATGGTGTTTGGGGTGTTGGGTTTTTTAACGGATTACTGTAGAATAGAAGACAAAAGAAAACTACTCACATTTTCACAAAATCGTTCTCTATCATCTCGGCACGCAAAATAGAGATGCCGGTCCAAGTGGAAGTCATCCGAAGAGAGTTCAGCTACACGAAGAATTGCTTTCTTACACTGATCAGAAACCTGAATCCGAGGATCAGTCTCCTCCGCCTCTTTTACCAGGCCTTTCTCCAGGCATGCCACCACCTCTCCTTGTGAGTGGGCATCCTACATGAGGAGAGCAAGACAACACCTGTATCCAACCACTTACATAATCAAGGGGTCCATGATTCTAGGTAAGCACCCCGTAAATTAAGCAACAAACAAGTTATCCATATGTAGACTTCCAGAAGTTCATCTTTAACTGCACTCACAGTCACAGGAGGCAACAGTTAATAGCTGTACTATCCACACGCTTTACACATCACCATCCTGCCGATGACCACCATGAAATCCCCCCTCCAATGCTCTGGGTTTGTTTTAATGTGACTTAATGAGATTATCACTACTTAGTCACACTGCTCAAAGCAGTTTACCAAAATGGCCAAATTATCTTTAATCTGACATAGCTCTCTTTGCACCATGGCAACAGCAAGAAACTGCATCACATTAAGAAAGATACTTGGAGGAGAGAAAAATCATAGTTCCTCCATGCTGAGACAAGCCTTTGGTTTGGGTGGCAAAAGGCCACAAAGGAGCTGTGACCAACATAGGCTTCTCAATGCTAATTCCTCCATTAAGGGAATTGAAAACAAATTCAAAGCATTCAAGAGCAGATGAAGTCTCAGACAAAGCAGCTCTGGCCCAATACTGTACGTCATGTCCACCGTCCTGCAAGCCTGAAGACAACTTCAGACTGTGACCAGTGACTGCCAGTAAATGTAGAGAGCCTGGGCTTTGTATGAGAGCCTGGAATAGGCAGGGCAAAGCTCCATTTAGTTTCCTACATGCTTTTTACGTGTTTAGAAAGGCAACTGTTCACCCTATACCTCTGTAGAAGGTCTGATTCCTCTAAAAACAAGAGCTCTTCTGATATACATCACTCAAGGCTTCTGCAAGTTCCTCCTGTGAGGATCACCTTAAGTTACACTGCTTTGCTGTGAGAGGATATCGCTACTAAATTTACATCAGACTGTCTGGAGTATACAACAAGGCACAAAGATTTGCACCCATCTGAATCACTCAACCTGGTGTTTGCAGTAACCATTTAGGAGCTACCCCTTCAGCTCGCTCTGTCAAGTAGATTCATCCATTGCTGTTGCAGCAGCATGAGAACAGTCTCCATAAAACATAACCATGACAATGCAAAGCCATGCATCTCCTCCAAATCTTTTTATTCCAACACGTCTCCGCAGGCAGGCAGCCTTTCATTCCTGTTTTAACTCTGCTACGCTTGGAGCACTAGCAGAATTGGACGACTAAAGTCGTAAACACAACCCAGAAGTCTCAGCAGTTTAAAAGGGCTAAAAGTATTTTTTCCCTTAAAGAAAAGGCAAAACAAACCCAAAACCACACACTCCAAAACCCCATATTTTGGTTTGCTCTTGTCTTTGAATGCGAACTGGTCAACTCCACGTGCTGGCCAGACATCAGCATCTTTGAAGAAATATAATTATACATCAACAGCCCCTTTAGGATAGGACCCAAAAGGGATCTGAGGAATACTACTTAGTAGTACGCTCGCCACATTACTTAAAATTGTCATTTATCCGTAACCACGCCAAACACAAACATTGTTCTGCAAATCCTTGTGGTTGGTCACAGGCAGTAACTACAACCGAGGAGCTGGCAAGCACAGATGACTGAAAGCAACCATTTAAAGCAGGTTTTTTTGCTCTAGCCTAGGTGAGTTTGCAGCTGGGAGGCAAGGCAGGCCAACATTATCCTCAATCACCTGCAGCCTCCCCTCACAAGCCAGCAAGGAGGGCACAAGACCTGATTTTACTAGCAGGAAAAGCTTAAGTTTCCTGGTTTCTGGCAGCATGGGTCTAGATTCCTGGTCAGAGCTCTACTATATATGAAAGTAAACTTCTTTTTAATAGTCTAGTGGAAGTGGATTTCCACATTCTGGATGCTTACTGTTTACCACTGCATTTCAGGCACACAACATGAAATGACTAATTTATTGCAAATAGAATTTTTACATTTGGGTAGATCATTTTGCAGTGCTGTCTACTCTGCTGCCCTGTATTAGAGCAATTTTAAACACATCAGACTTAACAGAAATAGAAACACACACAAGACAACACAGCCGCATCCTGAAAGATGCAGTCCTACTCTTTTCTCCTACCTCCAAGCATTCACATGCCTTCTTATGGTGCCATTAGCGTTCATGCTTACATGCCTAGCCCGAGCAAACATAACTAAGCACAGAATACAAGCTCCTGGCAAAGGAAAAGACCACCAGCTTACTGTATCTGTTCCATAGATCAAAACGGCATCTAAAAACCCAGATCAGGATGTATGCTTGTCGCCACACTGAAGCACAGTATAACTGATCTTGGTTTTGTAAGGCTTTAATTAACACCTACTGTATTTAAGATTGTACAATCTCTTATTGCAGACTGGAGGGGAAAACAAACACGTATGGCCGCAGGGCCTGCTCAGCTTCAGATGCACCAAAGCCGAGGGTCGGCATGCCACCCTGTTGTTGGAAAGCCTCTACCTTAGAGGTGGAGACCCTTAACTTCACAAGTTAGGACACCCCACAATTGCTGCAGGGGCTGACAGAGTCTAGGCCTCGTTTCTCCAGCGCAACGCGCTGAAATTCAAGAGATTAAATCTAAAACACACATGCGTTTCTCAGAATTGTTGCTTCACCATCACTATCAACCTTAAATGGAGAATTTTAACTGAAAGTTGCAGAGATCTGTTAAACATTCTAGATAATTATCTAGTTTGGAGTGCCTTGAAACTCTGTGTAGTCTTACAAAAGGCTACATTTAGATCCATAAAGGATACAAGCAGCTTTCCAGTACTGTCCTATGGCACTCTGAGCCACACAGAAGTGGAACTAAGTTCTAAACGTACCCAAGCGAACCCCCTTCCGCACAATGCTTTGGGAGATTTTCATTCCTATGACCAAAATTCAAGCTCCAGGCACGTGGCTTCAGACCAAGACAAAGTTTCAAAAACCCTCTTCTTACTATTCATTCTCCATCAGAGATTCCCCACCCCCAGTACAGCTTAGGCTTTGTAGTTCTTGTTCATTTTTTTGTCATTTTCAGAAGCACCCCCAGAAAAGACTTTATTCTATCCAAAACCTGACATGCATCAAGTTCATGACTGTTCTAGCTGCAGTCTTGCAGAAAGCAGCCAGAAAAGTGACCAGAAGAAGAGTCAGGAGTAGACAGAAGCAGCAGGCAGGAAGGTAAAAACATAACCTGTCTTACCAGCACAGCACCTTGCACTGAACGGCTAGAGCCAGAGCAGTCAGGCTGCGGAAAACCACCCAGCAGATCTATCGGGAGTTCCAGTTCGGCACTCTGCCCGGCTAACCCGGACACCGGGGTGACGGGGATCACTCTTAGATTAGCTAATTCCCAGCACTTCAGCTGGTAGTACACTGCTGTAATACTACACTGAGTAAACAAGGACTGAGCTGAATGTTATGAACTCTTCCCATTTAGACTTGTTTCCCCTCTGTGTCCAGTACTTCCATGAAACTAGGGAAAGTGTAAGTGAGAGCAACTGTACTTGAAGCACTTCGGGGTGAAAAAAGGCAAGAATGGTCTCATACTGCATCTTTTTAGGAATCTGAAAAATACTATTATCTAGTAAAGTACAACAACAGATGTGCAACTGACACTTATGTAGCCTTCATTATGGCAAAGAATCAACTCCAGTTGGGACATAATGGCTAAATCCAACTATACACAACCCACTAGCTTGATACAATCCCGGACATTACCAGGATGGGGAAAGCAGCTCATTCTGATAGGCAGCCCAAGAAGAAAAGCTCCATTGCAATTACCAATTTCCATTTCAAATTAGATCCCTATTGCATGAAGACAAAGCAAGCTTTAAATACCAGGAGACTAAATTCACTATAAAGTGCAACAGCCAACTAGAAAGGTGACTGAAACTACTATTAAATATTTCTCCATTAACTGGAAGGAAAAAAACCCCACCACCACATCAATCCACCCCACAACACAGGTATATTACTAAACTTAATGCTTTCAAATGACACAGCTACAGCCTTTCCGCTATATACAGCAAAACAAAGTCTACAGTCAGATTAAGACTGCCACACTGAACTTTACTGCTCTTACAGAGCAGAAAACCAACAAGAAACATGGAAAAGAAAGCACAGAAAACGCCACATCAGAAGCAACAAACCCAGCAGGAACAGAATTCAATTAGAAAGTAGAAAGAAAGCTAAAACCCAAAAAAGGAAGTATAGAAAACAGTTAGCTAGCAGAAGGGCTTCAAAAAACAATGTAATTCCACAATGCTACTGAAGTGTCTTTTGCAGTTAAAAAAGCCAGTTTATCCCAGTTTGTTTGATGAAGCCATCACACTGCAATCTACAAGCCGCCTGACGTGGATGGAGTTAGTGGTCTAACAGTGCTTATTTCCATTAAAAAAAAAAAAAAAAAGAAAAAAGCTGAATCTCTTCCCTCATCTTCCTCCTCAGGTGTCCAGGTCCTATTTATTAAATTCACAGTTACATTCAGTCACACAAAAGGGTAATAGCTGTTTCTCTACAGGCAACTCTCAGAAGCTACAGCGTGGAAATAAAACCGGGACCAGCAGCTGATGGGAGTAAATTAGATGAGATTTCTCCAAAGCAGAAAAGGGATAGAACAGAACACACCAACAAAAGAAATGCTTGCATAGCCATTTATAGCTGTTTCCATAGCAGTACAAAATACTTCGGTTGCTCTAAGTGCCAAGGATGACAGCGTAACAAAAGAAATCCTATGACAGGCTGCGACGCTTTCACAAACCAAGGCAAAATATTCTGGGTTGGGTACCAAGAGAGTGAGGAATATGCATAAAGCCCACTAACCCCCACAAAAAGGCTGGGTGGTGAGTCGTTCAGCCATCCCACAGAAACTTGGATGTCCCAAAGTTTGCATTCGTGTTCCTCTCCCTTCACCCCCCCTAGCTTCTGTGACTGACACAGAATTATGCACACAAGCCTGTCAAGCATTGGTTTTACTTCTGCTACAGGAGATTTGGCTTAGACTCATGAAATCCACGCTACTGTACCCTTCACTGCTACCATAAGTATTTTAATTTATTTTAATTTGATCAGGTCACAGGTAGGATGTAGATCTGACACCCAGGACTCCCGTTATTACATTTCAGATTCTATACTGACTGTTAAAGGCCATTTCTCACTTCATGAGGTGCTTCAGCCCAGGACTAGAAGAAAGCCTCTACTTCATGAAGAAAGCAAGTCACTTGGCTGTTACCAGTCCGAACCTGCGGTGCCTGCAAGTTCCTCCCACTTCTATGGTTGCTTTTGTTCTTGAAAGCAAGTCCTTGTTTTTCTGCTTTCTGTTGTTCAGCTAGTTCTTCTGGAATACACTAGCACTTCAATTTAACACCCTATGGATGTGAAGCTGCTTACAGAAGCAAACATCTCAAACAACTTTTTTTTCTTAACCAAAAAAGTGTATATATTTTTTAAAAATCTTTTTACCTCCTCATTAATAGCTGATTTAAGAGGCTAATTCTTAAAAGTGCAAGAGCTGTAATTTAAACACCACTGTAAAAAGATGATAGGACAATTTTAACTTTATCCCTAAAGATAAAAACTTACAGTGAACAAAGCCACTCATTCCTGCAGCGCTACATAACTGCTGCCTGCATTAGCTATGCCAAAGTAGCCAGGAAAAGATAGTGCCTTGAGAACAGCCCCACATCGAGTCACCACAAACCTCCTTGCATCGATCCCTGCCTAAGTCTCATATGGCAAAAAAAGCACCGATTTATTTAGGAAAACCAGTACAACATACTAAAATATGACACTATGTGCCCTTCAACCGTTTTTGAGTGGGCAGGGGAAAGGGGAAGTGAACAGACAAAAGCTCTTGATCCAGTCTATCAACCTGAAAAAGCAGAAAGGGTTATAGCACCGGCCGTATCACCTCAATAACGTCCCTGCATCACACCCGAGCAGACGGTGACATAAGCCTGCTCAAATCCAGTGTTCGGATTCATCCTATTGAGTCAAGCCTGAGGGAGCGTGATCAAAAAGAACTACCTATCAGATCACCTGTAGTGCAGTAAGGAAAGACAAAGGAAAGTAGTCTCTGAATAACAGTCCCTCATAGAGGAACCAATGCATATTTATTAAAAAGGAACTATACAGAATCAGGACATCACCCTTTTCAGACAGATAAGATAGGCCCTGTATTTTCTCAGTTGCAAGCAAGACTATAACACTATTGCAGAGCCCCCACATAAGGCTCCTTAAGTGAATGACTTTTACAAGCCTATTGACAATCTACGTCTTCTCTGGGTACCTTTTCTCCAGGTCGAATGCTGCCACATTTCAGGAGATTGATGTCAGCCTTGCAGTCATCCATGAAGCCACAGATCAACCGATAATCACTGAAGATAATGGCTGTCATTTTAGTGATGTACTGGTGGCACTGGTATTCAGTGATATTGCCTCTGTGATCCACCAAACACGACACCAAGAAGCCTTTACCAACTGGTTCATCTGCACACTCCTTGATCTGTTAAAAAAAAAAAAAAGAATAAAAATACAGTGGTTGCAACTACTGAACTTAACCTTTTTTAAGAAAAAAAAAATCCTCAAAGAAACTTGCATCTGTAGCTTCAAAATCTGCTGGCAAAGAAACCCTCTAGGCTTCAGTTTGACTTTCAGTAAGTCGGACTACTTGAAAATATTTCAGAAACGAGAAACACCTCACGTGTGCCAGTATCTGAAGAAAGCAAACGCAGCGACCTTGAGGATTATAAACCCTCTTGCTCAATAATCATCTTTCACAATAATCACACTGAACCCCTGCAATCAAGTGGATTTGTAGGAAAAATGCTAGTTTGATAAACCTTTATTTAGAAAGCTGAGCATATTACAACATCACTAAATCATACTTGGACTCCTATTAGGCACCTGACCTCGTACAACATAACATTTTGGCTAGAAGTGAGACTGATTCAAAAGTCAACACTATTTATTGAACAGTTTATGACTTGCTTGAAGCTGAAAATTACTATAAAGGAAAATCCTCATCAAATTCATTTTTATCAAGCTCTTACAGGAACTGATTGTTGGTACTAAACCATTTTAGCCAGTGGACTAAAAAAAAAAAAAAGATTAAAATCACAGCTAACAAAAGCTGAAAGTTGTGCAGGGACTGGAAAAGCAGTGTACACGAACAGACAGGTCCCCAATATAAATCACAGTCTGTACTGCTCGGGGAAGCAGACAGTAAGGCCAAAAAACGTCACCTTTGGAAGTAAAAGGTGCAGGCAGTTTTGACAGCGTCTTTCCAAAGGAAGTGGAAAACATGGTCGCTTATCAGTTAAGGATGCTCCCTGAGGAATACTGCGATAGCAGCAGTGCGATGCCTTGCGCTCCAAGGAGTACTGAGATTACACCGACTCTTTTTAACCCTGGGAAGCCCATGCTGAAATACTTGCCCCGCTCTGGTGTTCCCTGTTCAGGAGTACACCGAAAACCGCAGCCATAACGGCACAGAAAGAACACTAGACAGCCAGACACTAAAGTTCAGTAGTGACAGTTTTTCAAGCAATAGATACATGGGTTGACTTGATTACATCAAAGATTTGTTCCTGCACAAACACTGAAGGGCTCATCAATCTAAAGAGAGATCCACGGCAATCAATAATCCAGGCGGGTTCGGATACACCAAGCAAGGGCAGCACTAAGGGAACGGGCAGGGAACCATTTTCTCAGTTCTCAAACACCAAGTTGGAATCTTTATACTGGAAATTTAAAGAAAAAAAAAAACCAGAGAGCCATCTCTAGAAAGATATATTGTAATTCAAACAAGAATTAACTCAGGGCATCCTGTGACAGACTCATACAGGTCAGACTAGATGAATAAAACAGATCTCTCTCTGCCTCAGCTTATGAGGCCATTACTTTCTATATAACAAATAAAACATGCAACATTTTAAACACCATTATTCCAAGGCAGATGTAGGCTGGTAGAACATTTTCCATTGAATCTACATAGCTATTAGGAAAAAACAGTTACTAAGGTCAACATAATTGTTTTAGATAAGGCATAAAATACATTTTGAAGTGAAAACACATATGTTTCATTGCAGGGTGAAAGGGAGAGGGTTGAGCAAGCTTTCTCCGAGAAAGCTGCATCTTCAGCTTGGCCCTACTTCAGCCAAGTACCACGAGCCAAACCAGCACACAACGGCAATATGCTGTTTTTGGAAAAGCCTGGTTTGAAAACAGCCCCAGAGCTCCACGGCCTGAGCCAGTGAACTGCGTAAAAAGACCAAGCAATCACGTTATTGCCTGGCCACTTCTGAAGCAACCACCGTTATCTGGTAGCCAACTATAATTCTAGATTGAAATTATTGCCAGAACACATAAAAATCACAACAGTTGAGGAAAAAAAAAAAAGAAATTTAAATATTTATTTAGCTGATAAAATTAAAATTTCCAGAATGTTCCCAGTTGGGATAGTTACTAATTCCCAAATGACTTTTACTAGAAATTATTCTTCTGGTTGTATTTTGTTCTTAATACAAAGCAATACTTAAAATCAGAGCTCAGTCACCAGCAAGAACACACCTACCCGTTAGTGAGAATTAAAGAAAAACATTATTAGGCTAATACAGTATGTTAGCAGTATAGTCCTACTACATACGCTAGTTTTAAAGAGTGTTTTAGAAATACTTTTAAAAATTAGTGGAACAGTTTATGCACCTGCTTCAGTATTAAGTATCAGAAGATCAAACACACATGATTATTGGTATTTATACAACTTTTTTTTCGTTTAAATAAAACACACTAAATTCGGTGGAACTCCTGCTACACCAACACTGCTACAATTGTCCAACACTTGATCAAGAGGGGACAAGTCCAATCCACAACAGATTTCTGACAAAAGGTCACATAAGAGCTGATGGGTTCTTAGTTTATAATTTCTTTCCCCCTCCTCTTTGCCTGGCATCGCTAAGGTAACTGGCTTTTTCTGCAAGGAGATTGAATTAATTACACCTAGTAATTCGGCATATGAGGCTAGAGCTTCCCCAAACACAAAACATTATTCGCACACTCATTCACTAACACAAAGAAATTGAAAAAACCTTAGTGCCGCAGTAACAGCTGTGCCTTTCTTCTGGCTTACCTCTGCGATAGTGGACTTGCAGACTTCTCTGGCCACGGATTCAAACTTCGGATCTGTAGTCAGGTTCAGCTTGTAGTTCCACAAGAGCTACAGAGAAAGCATTTGTAGAAAGGGGGTTTAAGAGCTTCCCATGGAGAATGACAAGTATTTTGCCTCAGAAAAAAATGAAACATCCTTTATTTCCAATCCGTATCATCATCTAAGTGCAACAATTAATGCAAAGTCTCCTTGACAACAACTTTGTCCCTTCGTTTCTGCAATAATTTCCTCATCTTGAACAAATTGAGACTATTGAAAATCTCTCCATAAGGTCATGAGCCAACTCATTAAAAGGAAATACATCTAATGAAGACAAATTCATAACTGAAAGGATAAAACAATGAAAGCTGTAACTTGCTACCTGCTGCATATTAACAACATCTTTAGCCCACCACACCTTTCTGTGCCATGTCTGCCTAATGCAAATGACCTAATAAAACTGATGTCATCCTCCATACGAGCAGATCTCATGCTGAAAACCTAATAAAAGCCTAACAAAAAAGGAAAGAGGACAGTGCAGCTGGTCCCTTGTTCACTTCCTTCCGTGAGGGGCTGTGACCAAACAAGTTTTTGGATGCAGACATTTTTCAAACCTATAGGCAGTTCTCTCTCTTGCTAAGCTCAACGATATGTTAGAGGTTAGACTGCAAAACACCTCGGTAAGGACAACTGTTCTTCTAGGAGCCACAGATTAGCTCACGTAGGAGCCTAGATGCATTTGGTCATTGTGCAAGAATAAATCTTGGGCAAGTGATGCTCTGCAGTTATATACACATCCCAGATGTCCTCCTGAAACACCATAAAGTAAAAATACAGGGTACGATAGCAAAACCTCAGCAAATTCATAGCTGAGATGTTGCCTGAGAAAAGCATCTATCAGCTCATTTGGTTTTCTCTAGGAACTTAAGTTGCATTTAAACATTTTTTCATAAAGATTAAACAGTTTTAAAAATTCATTTCAAATACTCTGCCTTTGTGACAAAATCATATTAATATAAAAAAAGATAAACAGTTTGGTCAAACTATTTTGACATTTCAATTGTACGCAAAACACAAAAACATGCCCACACACAAGGAAACTAGTTTTACATCAGCTCCAAGAGGGTGGAAGCACGCGCAGAGAACTAAAAATGGAATCCGCATGGCTGGCTGCACTGTCTTCCACACCTCATATCATGGAGCTGTGAAAAGTTTAAAAAAAAAAAGAGATCATGGGATCCTAGGGTATTTCAGAGGGAGTGAGAAGTTGTAAATATACAGGTTTAATAGATAAAAGTGAATAAACAAGGAATCTGTCCTCGTGAAGAATGCTGTAGATCTCTCCCAGCAGGATCATAAGGAATGAGGTCCAGCACCCTAAGAATCCACCTCTGCATTTGTAATCTCGAACTTTGGAGAGTCTCGAAACGAGATGCTCTTCAAAGGAACCTTCCCACAGACAGAAGGATGGTTAAACGTGCAGCTTAAAAATCCAGATTTTAGCGCTAGGCAATATTTTCCCGAAAAGATGATCAGCAGTTGTACTACTAGAGACTGCAGAAAGAGGCAAAGAAAATATTTGGATATGAGACACTTCTCTGTGGTCTGGCTTTTGATCACTCCCCTACAATTTCTGCCTGGGAAAACGAGACTTTGCCCACACTTCCTATTTGTGAATAGCTTTCTATAATCCACAGCAGCCTGACATCTGCCTTGTGGCACAGATGCTGACATTTAATCCAGCAAAAGTCCAAACTTTGACTTCTATAATTCTCAATTTATTCTGCACTCAGGTAATTTCTATTGGTGCATTTAAGTGTCAGGTAGGTATGTTTTAATTACTGAAGTTTTCCCTTTAAAAAAAAAAAGAAACAGAAACATGATGTGCCCTTCATCCGATCCAACCCTGCACCACAGAGAATTACAGCTGCCGTGAAGTCAGGCAGCACAGTGCTAAAGGTTAATTTATAAACACAGTTGGAAATTATTGGTTGTACAGCATGGTCAGGTTTCATTTCTGGAATATATCTTCCAATAATAAACCAAAATACAGCTTCTTGAGCATGTGAAGCTAAGACCATCTTTGAGGTATGTGTGTGTCTGTGTCTAGGGCTAACCACAAAATTAAGGATCTCGATGTGGTGTGTTCTAACAGAACGCCAAAGAGAACAGCCAAAGGAAACCTAGCTCTGCTTTGTTTCTTTTTTGGTAGAGTCTCAGGATTTGAAGAGTCAGTTTGACAGCCTGAAAACTGGCTAACAGTTTGCTCGCTGTTAAACACAGTGCTGAGAGGAAATCTGTTCTAAAACCAGCCAAGTGGTTCAAACTGCCTCTAAACATCACACCCCCACAGCATTTTCCAAGCAAGTCTAAGAATTTAGCAGCTGTGAAAGTAATACAGAAGGCTTCAACAGCTGAAATTAAGAGTTTAAATTCAGTACTGCTCACATCTTTCCCAAAAGGAGCACATCATAGCTCTCCCAGTAACTCACGGGAACCACCCCCCAGACATAAAATAGGAAAGACGTCTGCTAGCCTCCTCTGACGCAAATGTACATTTTATAAAGCTCTTGGATACATTCCAATCTGAAGTCTCCAGTAAGACCACAGCGGCTATACTGGGTTAAAGAAGTCATCTTGCATTCTTCTTCCACAGACCAGCACAGAAACCAAAACATGTCCTGATTAATGCCTTCTGCAAACTACCAAATGATGCAAAATACCTACATCCCTTATCAGCTGTAAGGTGCAAATACTGTAGCTAGAGTCTGAATAAAATAACAGTAATACTTACATGATTGCAGTCTGAAGAGATTTCATTATCTGGCTGAAAGGAGAGAAAAAAAATGGAGTGTCAGTTCACTACTGAGGTGATGCATTTAACATACAGAAAAGTATAAACTTATAGAAACTAACATACTGTCAACTCATTTTTATTGTAGGAGACAATTTGACATAAGCAATAGGAAATTTTAAAAGCTGCATAATAAGAGCGATATCTGAGTACGAAAAAGATAGAAAGAACAGGCACTTCAGACACAATGCTGTCTTAACTCTCCAGAACATAAATGGCAGAAGAGCAGCAGGATTTATGTAGACACTGCACAAACATAATGAGCGCGCTTGTGTTTGGCCCAATTGCCCGAACTAAGGCAGCAATAGAACATCTGTGGAAAAACAAAGATGTGGTAGCAGAGTTTAAAAAAAAAAAAAAAAAAAAGTTTCATGCATACAAGTGAAGGAGAAAGGTAGCACATGCTTCCCTCCCCCAGATCGAAACACTCATATTCTCCATTTGAGAAGCAACGTCTTTTCTTTCGGCTATACACAGACGGGCCAGTCCAAAGCAGCCCTGAGATTTACGCCTTCAACCACGAGAAACTGGTAACATCCAGCGTTCACATATCATTTCAAAATATTCGGTATATTCTTTATTTTATAGTAATGAAGGTACTCATGTCCTCATGACCAGTCCTAAGGCACAGCCTCCACCAGACCAGTTAGCAGGTTCGAGAGAAACACCCACGCTCCACAGGGAGCCGCTTTGGAAAGACTCCGGCTGCAAACCACCCTGTCCTCCTTCCAGCCTGAGCAGCTCTCACAATGGAGAACCCCTTGAAAAACATTCATCATACAAATCCATATCTTATCTCCACAGCAAAACAGTGCAAATGCAGGACAAAAATCACCTGCCCATCATATCCACAGAAAAAAAATCAACTCTGACTCACAAAAATCACTGCTTCCACCGATACTGAAGATGCCAGACATGCTTTAAGAGCCACAGATACTCAAAACCACTCAGAGCTTAAACACATCACTGACACTAACACTTCAGACCTCAGATATTTCACATAAGAGAACTAGCATTTCATGGGTTTTGGAAGCAAGCAGCCTACATCCCAAAGAGTTTTTCAGTGCAAGCATTTGTCGCTGCACAACATGTTATGCCAACACCTGCACCATTGCTGCTTTAGTTTATGGGAAAAAAGAGCATGGGAAATGTTTCCAAGTCCTTAATTACAGCCATTATTAACTAAAGTACTTTTATTTTGTATAGCAGGAAGTGGCAGAAATTACCTCTCCACTTAGAACATATAAAACAAAAGGGTACTTGAAGGATCACAGTAATTAATTGCCATTTGGTCAGACTAACACCATCTAAAACTGTATCTCCCAAAATAATGATAAATTTGAAAACTGGGATATTGACTGTTTTTTAGAAGGCTAGCAGATGCCTGCTCATTATCCTCAGACTGCACAACTGATTCTCACAACTGAAAACTAAGATGACATCCAAATTATACTATTTTAAAGCATCCTCCAAGACCAGTACTATTATGGTTTTCCCTTAATTTTCTGCACCCATCCTAATCATTCAGCAACAGACGGAGGCTTTAGACTAAGCTAATTTCAAAAAGCAGAGTCCGAATGCCCTCCACTGAAGTTGCTGTCTCAGTCTTTCAGTCAAGGATAGTTTCTTTATAAAAGAAGGCTAGCGCTGTCATTCTCCTTTAGAGGACAGGACTTATCTAACAGAATCTGCAAACAGAAGAATCTGTAAGGGCCAGAAAGCACTCTCCCAAAACCCTTCTTGGTCATTTCAGTTAGTTTTGCATCCTCCAACCCAGTAACCTTTACTTCAAATCCACCAAAGATAAAAGCCTGGGTTGTCTTCTGGAAAAATGAGCCCTAGAAAGATAACAGATTGGTTCTCACCAACTTGGGAAGCTTAAACAAGCTTTTCTTGAAATATGCAACATTAAAATACTGCACACTGAAATACCAGTCTTCCCTGGACTCTGCAGCAAACCTCGGCTCTGAGAAATCAAGCCTTATTATACTTGTGATAAGAGTAATGGAAGTTAAACCTTCAGTACTGCTTACATTCACAGTTCAGTACTTCAATACACAAAAGCAGAAGATCTAGCCAATAACCCTTTAAATGTGGCACACGATGACCACCTGCTAGCTAAAAGCTGTGCCTCTTCTTCCCTCTTACCGCTACAAGTGTAGGACAGGCGGATTCAGTGGCAATGTTGACCTGCTTCTCCCAATTTAACTGAAGCAAAAGGAGAAAAATAATCCTTTTTGTCTTGTGTCTGATCAACTGAAGGGCTGAGTTTGAGGAAGAAAAATCTCCCCACCCAGTTAAATAAAAGCAACCCACACCCATTCTGCCTTTCTAAGGAGACAGTCTGTGGCCCTCTATCTGCTACATCCACCCAGGAAACCTTCCAAGTAAGAGCAGTTTCAGAACAATACGCTTGTGTAGTAGGAGTCATGAAGAAAAAGGTACGTTTCAAATTACCACTAAGATAAGTTGAAGAGCAAGAAAAGCTGCACTGCATCATTCCTACACTTGAGGAACACATGCTCGAGCCCCCTGGGGCAGAGGGAAGGAGAGCAGCCCAGACCCCACCGCCAGCTAGCTGAGGCATTTTAGAGAGGAAGCTGATGGCAAGGAGGACGTTCCACTGATTAGCGGGGGAGAAGGACTCGTCTCACATCTCCTAATTGAAGGATTAAAAACAGACTTTACAGAAAGTACATGTGCCTCTGGGCTCACAGGAGCTTTTGCTGTTTAGCAGCTTTGATGGCAATATATTGCCTCCCTTTGCAGTTCTCTAAAAAGCTCTCCAAACTCCTTCTTCGCACACTAACACTCACATTCCGGGGTATGAACACCACTTCCTACCTCCCAGGAAAAGCAGAGTTTAGACCAAGTACCAGCTGTAAGAAAACCTGAACAGAAAAAGCATTTCCTTCCATTCAACCACATAGAAGAGGCATAAGTCCTACTGCATTAGCGGTGTGAACTCTAAAGAGAAATTCAAAGGTTTGTAGGAAGTCAAATCAGCACCAGACTATGAGGTTGTCAACACCATTGTGTTTAAAAGCACCTTTTCTCATCCACCAGATCTCAATTCAGTGAAACAAGCCGCAATAGCCAGCCATCCCTTTCTAAATCTCTGCTTCAGCAGCAGTTTTAAACTAGGTCAAAACTATACAGCAAATGAGCAACCCACCACCACTACCCAGGCTCAGGGAGGCACAAGGCATTGGGTGTTTTAGCTTCAGAAACGGACCATCGTTATACTGATCCCCAGTAATACTTAGTCATAGCTATATCTTGGACAAGTATCATGCATTACCATCTAGTGAAGAGCACACTGCCTGGGGAGCAATTACTGTCACCCCCAGAGCTCAAGAGGCAGGGGCCTTTTCAGCTGTGTATACAAAACAGACTTGATTTGATCTTACTTCATCACCCCCTAAAAAAAAAAAAAAATTAATTCACACCACTAGATTTTGAAAAGCAAGGTAAGAATCCTAATCAACTACTGTGGAAGAAACTCAAGGTCTTGGGAGAACTCTCTGCAGGGATTATTTTAATCATCAGCAGCTGCCTGACCTTCCTTTCCTTTGCTCCCTTGCAAATGTCATGCAAATAGAAGAGTGAAGTCAACCTCACAAGTGCCTTTATTCCTAGAATTTAATCCCTTCTTAGAGCAGGAACAGGGCATGACAGCAGACGTTTCCGCTATTCTTTTAAGACAGGAGTAACAGTGCACTTGTTGAAAAGTAAGGAACAGGCGTATCTCAAATACCAACTACAGATAATCTTCAAGCATTGAAGACAAGACTTTGGACTCGCTCAAGCAAAAACCACCAAGAACGAGCATAGAGTAAACTGGCAAAATAAAAAGGTAATTTGCTTGTGGATAGGAGGAACCCAGTAGATGTGTTCTCCCTAAATTCAGGAACAGATTGCAAAAAGATGGAACAGGTCAATTAGGAAAGGATGTTAATTAAAGCAGCTACCTTCTCCTGAAAGAGAAGGTAGGCAGAAGTCCAGCCAGGCTGTGGGTGTTCCCCAGTTTTTGCACCGTCACACATACAATACACTGCAGGGCATGGTGCACATGGATACGCAGTACAGGCAGCTCATGGTTCCTAGCCACAGCGTTGCAGTTTTCCACTCTGACCTAAACACATTTATTGCTAATACCTGTAGAGATATGGTAGAGCAGGCCTGCTGGCCCAGAAGCTTCTAACAAGGAGGCTATCAGGCTGCTAAAGGGAAAATTACTTCTTAGCTGTGTCCTTCCCACAGGTAACAGCAATCTCCTTCATGCCAAACACACCCAGCTGGGACAGGAAGCTCACAATAAGGCGACTGAATCCACAGGCATCAAGCTAGCTAGACTTAGGACACCAGAAAAACAGCACAGGCTAGGAGCAAAGCAGGGATCAAGGAGAGATCCGGGGGAGCCACCCTCCTGCAATCCTGATCCATTCCCTAGGCAGCCACTAGAAACGATTCTGCAGAAGAATTTGTGGAAACAAGAGCACATACAGTAGTCTAGGCAAGAATCAACACAGCTTTTGTAAAAGAAAAACCGCACATCGCACAACCACCCATGCTTCAAACCTACTGAAACATCCTGGAATTCTGTGCCAACAAGCATATGGCTACAGTAAACCGTTTTCACACATCCTGCACTCCTGAAAGAGTCATGTGTGATAAAAAAA